AAGACAAGCCCTCAACTCCTGAGTGTGAATCACTGAGTGATTTTTAAAGGTTTTTTGTGACACAGAAAGAGGTAAAAAGAGAGAAGTTGTTTCTAGAAAGAGCTTGGAGAGCAAATGTTTTTCTATTGCGTCTGCACAGCACATCTCTTGAAGATGAGGACATAAACTCTGCTGTTCCAGCAGGAGGCTGTGTTTGTGTGTGATACTAAGGAGAAATCGAAACTTTACTGTCATACACCATCACTCAAAATTAAGCAAATTAATTTTATACTAAATTAGAAATTAATACTTTCATTCATCAAGGATGCATTTAATTGATCAAAAGCAATAGTTAAGAATTCTACAGAATTCATTAAAGAATCCTTAAAAAGTGTTTCCACAAAAATATTAAGCAGAACAACTTTATTCAACATTGATGATAAAGTGAAATGTTTTTGTGTCCCAAATCAGCATATTAGAATGATTTCTGAAGGATCATGTGACACTGAAGACTGGAGTAATGATGCTGAAAATTCAGTTTTGCCATCACAGCAATAGATTCCATTTTTAAATATATTTAAATAGAAAACAGTTATTTAAAATTGTAACAATATTTCACGGTATTACTGTTTTGACAGTGTTTTTGGTCAAATAAATGCAGCCCTGTTAAGCATAATACCAACTCCAAAAGTTTGAACTGTAGCGTAAAAAATTGGTTGAGTGATATTAAATGAATGCAAGTAAAAATACAGTAGTATATAGTTTGTTCTTGGAAAAAGATGCTGAAATATCTGTTAAATTACTATTCTGACATTTTTGGGGCCTGTTTACACTCAATATCCATTTTGGGGTGATGTGATCACAAATTGAGCATACTGAATACAATTATAAGCGGGGTCCAAAATGTTTTGTGCTTCGATCACTGAAACCATGCATAGTAGTAGTCAGAAATGCACATTACCACATTGTAAATGCTAATGCATCTTGATGCATCCCGGGCAGTAGACTGTCTTCTAACCTAACGTGCTATCATTCCTCCAAAACAAAGGTTTCATCTTTGCAGGTCTGGTATTGCCTCAAAAGAAAGCAACTGTCAATTTTGACATTGTCCTGAGATTAAAATTGTGCCATGTTTGAGAGCAACAGTGACATTTTCTTTAGTTCTTTTTCTTAACTCTCCATTTGCTCTAAATTTAAACTCATTGGTCTATAGAAGAAACAATTCGAACATTAAATACATTAAAAAGATCTCATTTGTGATTTGCCTTTACAACAGGTTGTCTTGACTCTTGTGAAGGTGTTCGGCTCATAAGATTATTATTTACTGACAAGTCTTCTGCTTGTGACATCTTCCAGATACATTTCCCTTTGGATTCTGCTCAGGTTGTTCTCTAGTCTTGAGGTCTCATTTGTTCTGTTGAGGTCGTGAGGTCACTGTGTGCCCAAGGCTGACTGACAGCTCTCCTCTGACACTGGATGATCATCCGAGAGGGATAAGTCTCTCTCTGAGACGTGTGAAAAACCCAATTCCAGCACCGTGCAACAGTAATTACATCACAGCACCCCCGCTGAGGGTGAGATTCTCACTCTCCACCGCTGTCTCTCCTGTTCCTTCTTTTCATCCTGTCTTTCAGTTTGTAGCACTGGCGAGTGCAGCGTGACTTTGGCGGCTCATTCAGTCGAGTCAGCTGCCCTTCGCCTCCGGAGCGGAGAAAATCAACAGCTGACAATCACAAGTGTGCATTAGTTATGAACTAGCCTACAGTTATAGTTTCAGCTCAGAGACGGTTTTCATAAACAATCAGCCCATAACAGCTTTTCCTGGTTCATCATCTGACTGCAGTCCTTTGTCAAAACAGCCCTACTGTATATGCTCATTCTGACTTCTATTGTCTCTATTATGTGCAGGACTAAATCTGCCAGTAGCTCATTTAAATGTTTGTTTTAGCTTGTGATCATGCAAAGCAGGAGCTGATTGCCAATTTCTGAACTACAAAAAAAAAGGTCAGTTAAAGGTCAATTAAATTTGTTTCTTGAAATAAAGTAAATGTTGACTGAAACCTGAGAATTAACAATTGAAGTAAACCTTAATCAAACATCCCTCTGCCCTTTTAAAGTATGTATGTACTGTATTTAATTACTTTATTCCTTAATTTCTTTCTTTCTTTTTTTTCTTGCTTGCTTGCTTTCTTTCTTGAAATGTACCCTTTTTGCCTCTAGAAATAATAATAATAATAATAAAATGGTTTTCCGTCATCTATTTTTGTGTATCATTGATTGCCATTGTAAAGCAGATGTTTTCATGATTTATCCTGCAGGCAAGACAAGCACTCAACTCCTGAGTGTGAATCACTGAGTGATTTTTAAAGGTTTTTTGTGACACAGAAAGAGGTAAAAAGAGAGAAGTTGTTTCTAGAAAGAGCTTGGAGAGCAAATGTTTTTCTATTGTGTCTGCACAGCACATCTCTTGAAGATGAGGATATAAGCTCTGCTGTTCCAGCAGGAGGCTGTGTTTGTGTGTGCGTGCACATGTTTGTGTATTTATGTACTATACTTCTGTGTCGATGGTGTAAGGGATCTGGACAGTTTGTTAGTGTAACGTGTGTGTGAGTTATTTCAGTTCAACACAGTGCGTGTAATTAGCTCGTGTTGGTAATGAGTTTTCCAATAAGAAGCTGAGCTGCTAACATGTGCTCAGCTGCTGCTTGCTTCACCCCTCAATAAGCAACATCAGCAGGTGATATGCCTTAGAGAGAAAGAGACTGTGTGTGTGTTTGACCAGTTTGGAGAGGGTGATTGCATTAATTTACCCTCCAGATGTGTAATGATTATTATTGTAACATACTACGTAAAGGCATATAATAATTTTTTTTGTTTGTTTGTGTGTTTGTGCAGGTGAAAAAGTTGGTGATTACCCATGTGGAACAGAACGTCCCGCAAGAGTGTGTCCCAATGGAACAGTATGCAAGGAGTACTGGACAGGACCCAACTTCGGCATCACAAATTTCGATAACATACTCTTTGCCATCCTCACAGTCTTCCAGTGCATCACCATGGAAGGATGGACTGATGTACTATACCATGTGAGTTGCTATTACAATTAATTTGAAAAGTTTGTGCAAAGAATGACAATTTTTTAATTTTATCACTCCCACGTCATTACAAATCTTCATCATTTTCTTTCTTCTTTATACCAAACATAAAATGAGATGCGATGCTGAACATCAGATCAGCTCTTTTCCATAAAACAGTTTGTATGCTAAATGACAAAAAAGCATTTAAATAGTCTATCAAACTTGTGCGCTACATTAAGAGTTTTTTTTAAATTAACCTGTTGCTTTATTGCCCTATAAGCCATTGACTTCTCAGGCAGTGTTTGCATTCAAAGCTACATCCTTAAACTGATTTTGGACAGGCTTTTTATGCAGCATAATGGTCTAATAATCTGCAACAAAATAAAGAGAGCTTTAGTAATAATAACAAAGCAAATATTTACATACTCTACCACAATACTAATTTAGAAAAATTAAGTGAAAGGTTGAAATAAAATTGGGCAGAAACCTATTTCAAACATGACATTTCCCTAAATAGTTTTATCATGTTAATGGATGTTACAATGTGAGTGTATTTGGTCTTGGAAGACTAGATCTGCTACACAGACTGCTGCAGAGCAAGTATAGTGTAGAACCATCTCAAGGATGCTCAGAAGAAATGGACAGCACCTGAGTTAAATATTTGAGTGTCACAGCAAAGGGTCTGAATACTTAGGACCATGTGATATTTCAGTTTTTCTTTTTTAATAAATCTGCAAAAATGTCAACAATTCTGTGTTTTTCTGTCAATATGGGGTGCTGTGTGTACATTAATGAGGAAAAAAAAATTAACTTAAATGATTTTAGCAAATGGCTGCAATATAACAAAGAGTGAAAAATTTAAGGGAGTCTGAATACTTTCCGTACCCACTGTATATAATATATGTGTGTGTGTATGTTATTGTTTATAAGGCTTTGTGTTTTAGGTGAGGGTGTTTCTCTTTGACCTATACCAGGTATCGTTCCCCACCATATTTCATGTGCCAGAGCTTAGTGCCCTCATGTAGAGATATATTCTGTCATCGATAAGCGGGATATTAAAAATCTCTCCTTTTTGCTGCCAGCAATAATAATGGTCTTTTGCTGCTAGTCTCTCTCCACCACAGGCAACCTGAGTCTTATCTTACCACAACAATCCTATAAAATGAGTATTTAGAAAGCTTATATAAAGTGTAATCTTATAAGTCATATAGATATGTCATTTTTTTCCAATAGTGAATTAGTGTATATTGCTGTATAGCCCATACTTGCATGTTTCATATTTTAAAAGTGGCCCTTTTCATAGTATGAAACTTGTAAAAGATACACTGAAAGAAAATGATGTAGGAATTAATTTCAAACAATTTTCAATCAGAAATTGCTAGTAAATTTCACAAATAATTAGAAAAGGCAAGTAACACTTTGAAATAAACTCGATAAATTGAATTGTTTTAAGTAAAAAGACTGAAAGTGTATTTTTTTGTAAGACTTAGTCCATTAATGTTTGATATATTTACAACTTCTAAACATTGTTTTGACAGTATTACACAAGTAATTCATATATTATATATTACTCATGTTTGTTTTTTTATTTTAAGAAAATCAGCTTATATCTACTATTTATTTTTTGTTGTTAAATAAATGTCACCTATCTATCTATCTATCTATCTATCTATCTATCTATCTATCTATCTATCTATCTATCTATCTATCTATCTATCTATCTATCTATCTATATTACACATTCTTAGGTAGAACGTAAGAATCTTTTAACGTAACAAACTTTTAATACAAACCTTTTCCTAATGTTTGGGTAGTTTTTTCAACAGCAGCAGTAAAAATATTCACTGTGACATGCTGATTATGAAGCAATAATTAACTTTAACGATGCAACACATTCACTATGTCACAGTTTATTTTAATGAGATTTTCTGTTTCTCTTGAGTATCTGGTCTTCATGTCTTGGTAGTCCCTGGCATGTATTGCCTGTGAATAATATCTCTGTGAGATGTACAGGTCACACTCTGACTGCACAGCTCCAGCAGATGGTGCTGTTGTCGCCACACAGGATTTCGCTTTTCTATAAAGGTCAGCTTTATTAAAAAAGAATGTTGAAAACTTTGCTAACTCTTCCTCCTTGTCTAACTTTCCTCCTTCTCCTCCTCCTCACTGTATGGGTCGTGAGTTAGATAGATTGTGGGGGTGTTGCGGCAGCTCTATCATATTTAATGGGGCATGTCTGCTCAGCCTCACAGTAGGCTACTCTGCATGATCCCTCCACCCCAACCCTGCTGCTATCCTCTCTTCCCTCTTCGCAGACATCCATCTTTCTTTCAGTCTCTCATCCTCTTATTCTTTCTCGTCTTATGAGCAAATCAGATCACATGTCAGTGAAGAAAGATGCTCCTCTGCCAAACATAAGAACTGTAACTTTTATATAAGCCTTCCCAGTTTGCCTGCTGCGAGTTTAATTTTTGATTGTGATTTAATGGGAAGATCTTATTCACAGCCACATTTGCACACATGCAGTGTGCGGCTGGTTCCACTCCAGTGCTCCTGAGGACACATGGGCTCATGTGCGCTACATCAGCCGGCCACATTGCCTTGGCAACATCTAATGGCTGTCATCTCAGCGGTGTCACTGTAATGATGGGATAAGATTAGATTAGGTTATGCTGATTTCCCAGAACATAAGCACACATAACACCGAAAGCTGACAATCCGCTTCAGAGGGCTTTCTTGTGATGGCTACCTTACATGAGTCACTGACCTAAAGGGCGATCCAGCTATTTGATACACCATTGCTACTGCCAATAGATACACAGACATGCTGCTGTGAGCATGTAAGATATGATACATATATCATATAGGCATACATAAATCTAGCAGATAGCAGATCTAGACGGGTGGTGCTGGGGGAGGTAGAGGGATTTAGAGGAACTCTAATTGCATGCTGCAGCCAGCTTACAGCAAACACTGAACCATACTATTTAAATGTTGAGCAAGCACGTTCACTGGCCACAGAATCAGCAATGGCCAATCAGCTTGTGCCATGTAATAAATAATGTGATTGCTAGCAGATTGCAGGTAAAGGAACTATTAGCCTACGCCATCCAACTGATTGCTAGCGGTAGCTTTCAGATGCCTGTTTTTTCCCTTCAGCTCAACTTTCACAGATTTGCATGTAATTTTGGAACTTGGCAGTATTCACCATCACATGACATATAAGATAAATCTTAGCTAGATTTTCAATACGCTGAAAGTATTGTATATATTTCCCTGAAGTAAGAAAGTTATACAGCATTGTCAGACATGCATAGTCTTGAATATGGATGTGGAATATTGTTTGTGTAATCTCAAAGGATTTTCTTCGTTTCTACATTTTGTGTTATATTTTAGAACATCTGACAGTCTGTGTTCTGCTTGTCTGAGTGTTGAGCTCAGGAGACTTTCTGTAAAGGTGCTAGAATCTGTGTGTGCGCGTGCTGATGTGAATACAAAGTGGAAACGCGGAAAGAAGTTTGCTTAGTTTAATTGTAGACAGTTAAACATGCAAACAAACTTTTATGATATGCAGGAATTCCACAGTTATGGAAAACCCTACTGTGGCCATCTGTTTTTACCACAGGTTAGTCATTATAGAGACATCAAGTTCAGAATAAACGCTGGCATGGACAGTCTCAGTAACACTTCCAGGGAGCGTAGTATAAACCCTGCTGAGTGACAGGAAAGACGGACTGCTGTAGTTTCACCTGCTCCCCTTCTCCTCACAGTTTACAAATGTGTGCAGAGCGTCAGGCTGCCAGAACATGGTGTGGGGCAACATATGCCACCCTGTTCCCACATCGCTCCCCCGCCCGCCACAGACTGAGACGAAAATTATGCAAAGCTGAACTCAAACTGTACGCTGCCAACCTGTTTCTGTCATGTGCGGAGGACTGCTGGTTATGCTAATACCCTCTCTCTTTCTCTCACTTTCACCCAGCCACCCACTTTTTAACACATGAGCTTTGTTCCAAAACCCAGCAAGCCGCATTGCTGTCTACTTCATTCTAGTATCCTAACCATAGTGGAACCTCTCAAATGAACAATTGGAATGCTGATATTAGCTTAAATAATCTTTTTTAATCATACTTTTTTCATTGAAATATACGCTTATTTGCAGGGCTCAGCTGTAAGGACGTTTTCTGCTTGCTAAAATTAAACAACTTGATTTTTCCAACACAAAAAATACAAATTTTATAAAAAAAATAATACGCTTTATATAAATGTATATTCATTTAATTTTTGCAATTTAAATATACTAAATATAAGTTAATTGTGCTTTAATTTGCATTTATAGTTTTTAAATATTTCTAAATATTTCTACACTTCTAAATGTTAAATTATTACATTGAATTATTTTCAATAATATTATTTTAAATATTATCCATTTTTGAAACTATAAAATAATACTTTTTTCATTACATGTTAGATTTTCCTTGCAAAGAAAATTTGAAATTCATATGTAAATTGAATTTCAAATTTATTGTAATGATACAGGAAACTCCAAAACAGCAATAGAGGTACAGTATATACACATTTGTTTATACACAAAATGATGGCATACATGGCTAATTATCACTAATTAGTTTGTAATTCACAACACATTCTTACTGATGTTTCCAAGATGGTCACAAATCTTGCAATTTCGACAAATCCTTATCCGTGTCAGCCAATTTTATTTGAAATATACATTATTTGCACATCTAAAAATTTGGAAATGTTTTTTAAATGTTAAAGAAAAATTGAAATAGATCTGTAAATTGTACAGTTATTGTATATATGCTACCAAGACTGTCACACATTTTGCAATTTGGACAAAACCTCATCTGTCTCAGATCATTTTACGTAGCAGACAAGCTGAATAAATGTTTCTCTACCAAATATTACTTCCCACCTTTCTCTACATTCTTGTGCTGCAGAGAGTTCTAGGTACAATAAACCTTTTTCACAAGGCAACTTTAGCACAG